GCCCCGACCCGGCCTGGTCCGTGTCCGTCTGCCCGGGCCGGCCAGCCGAGAGGCGCGCGCCGGCGGCCGTTATTTGTCCGCCTATCTGTCAGCCCAGGCGATTTGTTTAAGTCGCCAAACGCCGTCTTAATTAGAGCGTGGATCAGATAATTGAGAGCTCAGAAACGCTTCAGAGCTGAGACGGCAAGAACATTTTTGTGCTGCGCTGTAAATGAGGCATTGTTTTACGAAACAGTGTGCTTTCTGGTTGAAACAGGAGGGAAAGTTTCAACAAAAATATCGTTTGAGAAGTTCAAGCAAACGACCCTCCTAAAGTAAGGAGTCAACCAATTTTCATTCACCTAGCATGACACCCCCAGCCAATCGAATGGCTCGAAACTGTGGCAATTATAAAATAGTTTTCCCTGTAATATTTCCAGCGCTTAGTTTTGTCTTCCGTCTAAATTCCTCTGACCCTATATTCGATACTCTCCATTATGCACGTGCTCTATTCTGAGACCCATCTGAACGCACTGTGGTCCTTTCAAGTGGTTGGTCGACACTGATTCATATGCTAGGTCACGGCTCTGGCGATTGTAAGATGACACGACCTGTGCGCGGTCTGAGCGGAGAGGGTGGCAGCCGAGCCGTCTGTCATCTTCACCAGCTGCCAAACTAACCCGACAACTCTTAACCCGCGCCCTGATGGGGGGGGGGGGCATTTTGTCCCCCCTGTGGTTTTTCTTGAATAGCGAGAAAACGGCGGCGCTGCGCGCCGCCAAGTTTTAAGTACCTTACCGGGCATCAATTTGACACCTTCACACAAAATTTCAAGTCACAGGTCACCTCAGGTCAGGAGTTATTGAGGTCAAACTGAGGTCATGTTCGAGTAAAAATGAGCAAAAACATGACATCTTGAAACGCTCACCAATTCTACAGTTAACACAAGCAATTTTAAAGTTCTTTATGTGGTTGTGTAGAGAAAAGACGGCGCTACAAAACTGCTATCTCGGATTTTCAAAATTTTGGGACTTTTACCCCCAAAAATAAAAAAATTGATTTTTTAAGAAAAACTCAAAAAATTTCCAAAAAATTTTCGAATTTCGAAAAAAACGGAATATATGTGAAAGTCCCTGCGCTCTTCGATATGCATACCAAATTTTAGATCGATACCTCTTTTTTTGGCCAAGTTATAGCGAAAAAACTGTTAAAAATTAATGACGTCAAATTTTTGAACTCAATTTTTGGCAATTCTAGACCTCGTAGCGCAAAACGGAGACCACCATTGAACTCCCCGTGACGAGCTGCATCGAATCGATACCCATTTTATGCAAAAATATCAACTTAAAAATTTTACCTAATTTGACCTGATCTTGACCTGACCTTGACCTGACCTTGACCAAAACGTCACCTAAGCTGGCCCACAAGTCTTCTTGACCCACATTATCGCATTTGTCATGTAAAATGTACCATAAAACATGTATCACACGACACTTTCATATTGTGACCCCCCCAGTGACCTGACCTCTGTGACCTGACCTGGTATGAGTGACCTCAAATAGCAAAATATGTGTTTGAAGAACATTTCCCCATCGATGATTTTCAATGACATGCATTTTACTCGATTGTACAACGCATTTCTTGAAATGCCTGTAAACGGTGAAAATTCGACCTTTGACCTGACCTGTGACGTCATCGGTTTGACCGAGGTCAATGAAATTGGGTCACAACGTAGTTCCCCGTTGGGGCTATCCAACGCCGTTTACCGCTTGTCGCTATGCTGCGTGGTTCTCGAGATCTTAGGGAGGGGGGCAAAATGCCCCCCCCATCAGACCGCGTTGCTCGGCAGACCCCATCAGGGTGCGGGTTAAAAATGCATACATACGAGCTTGTCATCATTGATGGGGTTCGACAGAGTTGCTGCTACCAAGTGCTTGGTATAAATGACCGGATGTTAGGTGTAAAAGTATAATTTCAGCTACTTTGAGATGATACACGGAGCAGGTGTGCTCTCATAGATCTTCAATCATACCGACACGTTTCCACAATATAAAGCAACCAAGGCGTGAACTCTCGCACGTCTGATTTGTGGACACATGCTTTCACAAGTAAGATAAGCATGCTACAACACTCACTCCTGACCCCTCATCTGTGGACAACGGATTGGCCGCCTGCCCAGCCGCGGCTGCCAGCTCCCTCCCCTCTCCCCCCCCCCACTCCACCCCCTCCCCCCCCCACTCCACCCCCTCCCCCACCAGTCACTGCCGATCCCTGCTCTCAACATCCTTAGACACTAATGGCGAAATTATCCCCATCGGAATAATCCGGGCGGGCCCGACGCGGCTTCGGAAGAATATGATGAATAAATTCCATAACTTTGACGAGCGCGTGACCGAAGACGGTAGAAATTGGCCGGGACGCAACCGACACGGGCTTTTGATATGATGAAGAGAATAGAAATTTCAGACTCATCGTTACTATGTCATAATGAACAGTACCTATGCAATAATTTATTGCGTGTGTGTCTGTGCATTTATAAAAGCCTACCCGAAAAAAAAAATTATTAAATTGATACCTACATAGTCGACATTTTGGGCCATCACCGTAGAATCGGGCCTTCTCGGAAGTTGCTCGTTGAGTAATAGGCATTGCGTTCTTATTATTCACACTACAAAAAAGGACATTGACTGCTTAGGTGTTTATGCGTCATGCTTCAGAACTGTATGGATCTGATTAATTGAAGCAGACGCTGTCTGGATCAGCTGTCCGTAAGGCCGCTCCTGTCTGGCACACAGCCGTGCCCGGTGTCTGTGGCCTCGGGCCAGGTGCACGCCGGCCGCCGTAATGAACTCGTAACCTCCGCCGATTGCCGCACGCCGACCATAAATGAATTTGATGGACCATGAGTATCGCAGCGTATGTGTATCTGAGTCGATCGCCGCCCCTGCGCCGGCTGCGCTCGCCGGCTGCACCACTGCAAACGTCAGTGCAGTCTACTCAATTAAAATTCCTAAATATGATTCGCTGTGTGCTATATTTGCTATTGTGAACTGATAATAAACATTAAATTAACTGCATTTTATGCTCACATTTGAGAGTCTGATTAGAATGTGAAATGCTTCCAATAGCCTAAAAGTTTTCCCTGGAAGTGGAAATCAGGAAAGGCGTGCGCGATTCGCCGCCAGCCTGCAGTGCCCTGTGCTGGTAGACTGTACCGCATTACATGCGTGCTGTGCGGCGCAGTCTAACAACCAGCCGCTACAAATCCGCTGCGCGGGTGCATGTGAATTCTGAAAGTCGTAGTAGCTCTCTTTGAAGCTTGGAGACTGAAGGGTTTTGATTCGGTCAGAAAACATCGGCGAAACCTCTTCTAAGCGCTGATGGATATTATAGCCGGGGGTGGAGATCTGTCAAAATTTCGGGGGGGGGGGTCCAGGCCGGGCAGATGGAGGCTGGCTGGATGCAGTACCATTGACTTACATAGCAGTAATTCGTTTTCAGGGGGGTCCTGACCCCCCCACCCCCCCCCCTCCCGAGATCTCCACCTCTGATTATAGCTGTCACAGGCTCTTGAGGAATTCAAAATCTAAGGAAGTCTTATTACTATTCAATGCCAGAAATCAAAATTTGTCTAATTGGTTCAAATCCTGTCACATCTTTAAGTCTCTGAGGAATGCATTGGAGACTTATATCCCTGAAAAAAATCTTGCATTCAAAAGGACAGTAAGCGATGTAGGTATACAGAGTAAGCAATGCTGCGTAGTGCGTGTTTTATCAGTCATGAAATTGTCTTCACTGCACATTGGAATCGAACATGAAGCTGTCTCCCGAAGTTTTTTGTTTGCTTGTTACGTGCCCCGCAGTAGTTGACGCTATTTTTCTCTGAAATCATAGGGATTAATATCTTGATGTCAATGTGGAAGTGAAAAGTTCTTACATAACGTGCTTTTACTGCTGATATGTTTGTTTCCTCCATCTATTACTATTATATTTCACGTGCTTGCACACAGTTGATGCAAGTAAAATTATGTTTCTCGATTATTTCTAACGATCTTTTACGTCATCAGCCGCTGCTCATTCGAGCAAAATAAGTGAATCGTACCCAGAGATGTAAAAAGGACAACTCAGCGATGTCGATCATTAGACATCTGACTCAGACCACAGTGTGCTACCCATGCGATTCCATAATTGCAACGCTGGTAGAAATTACAACCTACCAAAGGAGGAATCACAATCTAGGTTAACTGAACTATTGGCGCAATTGTTTGATGAGAATTGAAATTTAAAATGAATGCTACATGGATTGTTTCAATATACGAACAACCCAGCCTCAGTACAAAATGCAGGGCTGTTGTGGATATTCACTACTCAGTGGTGTTCGCATTATCGTAACCAGCTTTTTGTTAAATTTGAACAAGGTCTAACTCTTCAAGAATCACTGTGGTCAGTCATCGAACTTGGCACAACCTCTGATCGTACCCACCGACACTTTGTGACAGAGTTGTATGATTTATTTTACGCTGATATTGCCAATTTCGGTAATGGAGTTCGCCGTCGCCTCTCTGCCGCCTTCCAGCGATGCCGGAAAATCACAGACAAGCGACCCCAAACTTGTCAACTGTCGACGCGAAAATTGATGCGATGCTATATGATATCGATGGAAGAGTTTGATTGAGTAACCAGCCTGTAAGTGAAATGTGCTAACAGAATGGGGGTACATTTGGCGTATATTTAGAACTTATTGAATATAAATGATCAGATGAAGTATGAACTACTCTGAGATGGAACAGTCTAATAGATGAACACTGTTGTCGCTAAATTGTCGATGTAAGTTAGGTTATCAATGACAATAGTAATATCGAAGTAGGTAATACTTGCTGATAGAATATTAGATATCGTATCTAAACCACCGCTAGCCATGAAGTGTTTGGTGAGAAGTGACACATTGGAAAGTTGACTGTAGTCTGTTTTAAAAAGAAGGTTGTCCTTGGTGCTGCGCTGCAGGTATAGTAACACATTGATTATCAGGTCACCGTTGCTGATATATTACGAATGACCTTTCGTATATAGAACACTTCACCCATTCGCAACACCATATCAAATCACACTATAAACCTCAGGGTTGGCTCCGTGCATCTGCACGGGCCATCAATAATTGCATCTATCGGCCGCCTCACTGAGCCGGCCTCAACAGTTATGACTGATAATATCCTCGGGTTGGTTTTTTTACAAGGAGAACTCCGTTGAGCCGATCTACTCGCCGTTACCGGCTCTGCCGAGCGACCGGTGAGTCCGTCCCAGCCGCCGCGGACCATGCAAATCACCCCTTCGCGGCGGCAAAACCGGCAGTTCGCCGGTAGAAAACGCCACCTGCATCGCAACGCACTAACGCACTGCCGCCACACTGCGCGCCCACCGCGCCGGCCGCATCTTAAACAAGCATTTGCATGTGAACATCGTCGATAACGATTCACAAGGATCAGGTCGACTCCAAATAAAGCTATCAATCACACTGCGCGCATCATCACCGACGAAACAAAGAAGCACCGCCCGCCGTCGCGCCGCTCCGACCACTTCCCCTCGCTACCGTCAGCGACGCCAGCTGACGGCGGCGGCGAGGGGTAACGCGCCGGTGACGAGCAGTGACGCGGCGGGGAGCGGCGGTGGCCGGCCGGCGGCGGAGGCGGCCGGCAGCGGCGGTGGCACCTCGGTGGCCGCCGTGTGCCGCGGCCCGTGCACCGAGCGGCCGCGGCCCGCCGCCGTCGGCCGCCGGTAGATCTTGTGCAGTCGGATCTCGCCCTCGGCGGAGCCCATTGAGTTAGAGGAGACGCAGCGGTACACGCCGATGTCGTCCTCGGATACACGCAGGATACGCAGCCACATAGTAGTCCGGTAGCCGTGCCGCTCGTCCGAGATCAGATGTTTGGGCCTGGCGGAGAGGACGGTACTCGGTTACAGCAGGGTCAGCCGGCTCGACCGCATGGGCCGGCAATCGTAATGACTTGTTAAACAAAATATATTACGGCAAACTCGTGTTTTCATCATGGCCTAGTGGGACGCCTATACGGTAATTCAATATCCTCCTTGATGACAGATGGAGTGGCGCACACGAGTTTCGGCATATGCATTCAAATGCATGTTTATACTGACCTGAACGTCAACATGTTTCTGTGAGGTGAATAGCACATGAACATTGAACACTGGTGATATTGTACCCCACTATTATACGAAACAGATGTAGCATAAAACCTTTGAAATGTAAAAAAGCCGCCAAATAAAAGTTTACGTCGAATGATACGAGACGGACAGAAGTTTCCCGTTACATTTGCTTTGCAAATCGCCGCAGCAGCCGAGCTTTCCGTGCAAATCAGATCAAATAAATCAAAACGTGTGCCGACAAACAACTGAGTTCTGAGAGTGGCGGACGGTGTCGACGCGACCTTCCTATGCTGAACCCCAACATTAAATAACCATAGCCCGTGCTACTTAACGTCTCCTATAAATAGCGTATTCCGTTCTACAAACTGAAGTCCTGCCAGCATCCGGTGCTGGGAGTGAGGATGAATAGACGACAACGTGCCACCGCGCTGTGGCGATACGGTGTGCCTAAATTGGTCTCGATCTATGCACCGTTCTGGCCCCGTACTGACGTGTGCTTCTGAATTGTGGTGGTTGTTATGTGTCGTGGCGTCGCAATGACTGTACATAGTGTGGTGACTGACTGGATCTCGCACTACGTGAGGAAAAGAGGGGAGGGGGGAGAGAAGAGAAGAAGAGAGGATGGATACAAAAGAGAAAAAGCAAAGTGAAAGAAAGAGAGAGAGAGAGAGAGAGAGAAAGAGAGGAGAGGATAAAAAATAAGATGATAGGAGAGAAGGGAAGAGGAGAATAGAGATGACGCCCCTCCCTGGCGCGGACCGCTGCGTCCCATCTCGCCGGGACCACAAAAAGCGGGCAGGCCGGAGCGAGGGGGACGGGGTACCAGTTGACCGATAGCTGTTTGTCCGGGCGGGGGTCCGACCAGCACCCCCAGCCCCTGATAAACACCACGTGGGGTGCGCACGCCATCGCCACTCGCCAGGGAAACGCACCACTGACACTAATGTCATAATGAGATGGAAGATGGTCGTAATATTACACGGCTATTGTCTGTGGGCCGATGAGCCGTGCTGACGACCGAAGTAGTGAATGGCTGTTTCCCGGGCAAATGGAATTGTACGGCGGGAAAAGTACGGCGGAAGTAGTGCATCAATCAGAGGAGCTACACGCTTCTACGAAAAATTGTGAACGGAAGGGTTATGTCTGCTGAATCATTAACGACATACGTCTCCCGACTCTTGCTTTGGAAGGTGACGGTGGTGCTTACTGATGACTGCTAATGGAATCTTTGAGTAAATAATTCAAACATAACTTATGGAAATTTACGAGCAGTCGGCTTTATGATGAATATACCTCATCATGGCGCGTATGTCATAACACGCTTGTCCCTTTTGTCATGACCCATCATCTTGTTCAGTTATGACACACCCCGTGAGATTTTTGGGACGACCATCATTTCCTGGTCCCATTTCAATGATGATCAGTAGCTTCTCTACTCACGTTCCAAGCAGCATCTCGTTGCGGTTATTGACCCAGTAGTTGACGGTGTTGGGGTAGGCCTGGATGTCGCAGCGCAGCGTGGCCTGCTCGCCGATGATGGTTCCGAGCAGCTCCGGGACGGCCGTGATCTCCGGTCGGACTATAGCACGGGGCGGGCAGGTGGAAGGTCAGATCAGTTCAGTCAGTTGTCAGTCTATTCAGCACGCTCAGTCCGATCAGTCAGGGCAGTTCGGTCAGTAACACCGGTCACTAATCACCAGTCACCAGTCAAAAGTCACCATTGACCAGTCAAAGATCATAGGTCACTGCTAGTCTGATCTGCTATCGGTCAACGTCACGGTGACTTTAAATATTACTGGTCAGGTGTGAGTCTAATTGCGGTCATCGACCCTGGTCACTGGCCAGTGAGAGACCGAGGTACTTACAGACCGACAAACCGACAGACTGACGGACCGATATACCTGCTAACAGACTGACAGACAGACTTTTTGATTGATAGACCGACAGACTGACAGTCTGACCTAGGTACCCACAGATCGGCAGACCGACAGACTGACCCCGGCATCAACCGGACAGCCGATACAACACCATGAGGATACAGAGGGCTCGGATTGGGCCAAGTGGACGAAACTAGCACGAAATGGGGCCGTTTCTTTCATAAGTGTCCCATTCGGCCGTTTAGTGTGATGGTGACACACCACCATTTGACTCTAAATTCGTAGAAAACTCAGCACTCAATTCATTCTCAGAAATGCTGCTATGCCCTGATATCACTGCATATTGTCGAGAATCAAACAGTATCAGAGTTATCACACTGCAAAGGATCTGCTCGCTGCACTCACAGTTGACGTAGACGAAGATCCGTTTGCTGATGGCCGGCGGTACGTCGTTTCGGGCAATGCAGAGGTAGGCGCCCATCTGTCGCCGGGTAATCTTGGTCAGCAGCAACGTCTCGCCGTTCGCCTGGTACTCTAGGGGGGGAGGGGGGGGGTGCAGAGCTGGTAGATTCTCACCCATTCGCAACGTTACTGTCATTGGCTAGTACATCTACAAAAGTAGGATGAGCGAGCCACATTACCTCGACACTCGAATTATCACACTGGGGGCACCAAATGTAGAGTTTTTAGAAGTTTTTGTGCACGTCTCTGAATCTCGATAACGCAAACATTTTCAATTTCGCCTACACAGTTCGATTCAACCTTCTATTAGATACCAATTAGCCAATTATCGTATCTAAATGCAGTGCAATTCTGCAACCTAATCCTACATCGCTGCGGTCTTACAATTTTGTGTGCTGTTTTATCGCGATGTTCGTTCACTACTGACCGCTGATCCACTCACCCTTTTGCCTGTTGCGGTAGTCTCCGTGCACGAAGATGGGCTCGTAGTCCTCCCTGCGCCAGGTGATGTTTGGTCGCGGGTAGCCGTGAGCGGTACAGGTCAGTCGGGCCGTCTCCCCCTCGGCCAGGCTGAGGTCACTGCTCGACTCGTCACTGTTGATGTCGGGGGGCACTGGGCGGCCGCGCGCCACGAGATCAGAGGCTGTTGGTAGGTTATCGCAAGGTTTTGCTGGTGTCTTAATGAAGCGTGTGCACTGTGCAATATACGGGAGATGGAGGCTTCGCCTGCTGTGGGTCAAAGTTATTGGAGAGGCCAATGCTTGAATGTACCATGTGTTGTGTGTGGCGTAAATATTAGAGCGTCGTGCATGGTGCCTAAAAAGAGCCCTTTAGTTAGAGATAATTTGTAATACAGCGAATACGTGAGGAACAAGAGATCTGTTGTAAGTAAATTTTGTTTTTAGTTTAATGATTCGATTACTTTGATGTATGCCCACCAAATTGTTAAAGGGAGATTATGACCTTTTCCCACTTTATTGGAGTTGGGACCATTTTTTAGTAAAAAATGTATAAATTTAATGTAAATTCATTGCATTTTGCCGAAATCACAAAATTACCATGTTTTTTTTTAAAGTTGAAGTAGCTCAAGCGCTCCGCGCTTGGTAGTGATGGGTGAGCAAGTACTTGCAGGTTTAAGTAAAATCGGTGAGTAAAAATTACATAATATTTGAAAATTTTATTTTAATTGATTGCTGCCTTCATGGTCGATTCGTGAATAAAAGGTTTTCTTATTCATTTGTTTTTTCGACGTGTACGAATGCTTTTAATTATTAGGTACCGGACAATACATAATTTAGTTGCAGCATTTCTCATTTTAAATAAGGAACGAATGAGAGCACAGTCTTGCTCTTTATTTTTGGAAGAATTTGGTATAAGTTATTTCATTAGTCAGTATGTCAAAAGACTCTTTTCATATATTGATACAAATACATTACCTTTCTTAGAATACCAGTGAGTCGAAATACATGTGTACCGGATGACATAAATTTCGTAGCTGCGTTCCATCTGATTTGAATGGCCACAGTACCTACACACGTTGGTTGTAGGGTACTATGCACCTACAACCAACGCCCTACACACGACACTGACAACCAAGCTAACAACATAAACAAACGGTAACATAAACAAAAAACCAAGCGTCGCTGTTTGAAACAAAAGCGCCATACACTGCGACTTTTTTTATAGAGAAGGACAACGCATTTCGGTGGGTGTTGCAAGTACTGCAAGTACTGCTTTTTTTGCAAAAATAAAAATCATTTTTCACATACGAAAATGTGCTAGGAAGTTTTCATATTTTATAGAAACCACAGTAAAAATAGCATGGATGTCGAATAAATTTTATTTAAGAAAAAAGGAAGTTCATTACAGGGTTGGGCAGATAAATTGGGACAAATTTCAACTTCCTCTAAAACGACTATTTTTTGAGTGATAAAGATAATTTTTGATATAAATATAGGCTAATGAATACCTTTCCATGTTATGCAGGTTGTGTTGTAATTTTGAGTCGGCTGGTCACAGAACGTGGGCTTAAGCAAGCCACTATCAACTTAGTCCGCGCGCACATGCGTGCCAATAGGGGAAGCCGGGGGAAGCCCGGCATAGTAAGCTCTTTTTCATTTTTACGAGCGAGCGAGCGCAGCGAGCGAGCGAGTTCATACTGAATTAAGGGAAAATCCTGAGTATGAGCGGCCGGCCGGCCGGCCGGCCGGCCGGCCGTGGGGACGCTCTTCAAAAGCTAATATCTTAGGAACGGGACATCCGATTGACAAGCGGTCTTCTTTACTGAATGTCACTTGGACGTAAAAGTTCTGTGGTGTGATGGCCACCATGCGTTCTTGCCAACCACCGCACGTGGCGCGTGGTAAAGTTGGACATTTTTTAAGAACCCCCAAAATTGCAACCTCAATAACGGCACAACGGTTGGGCCGATTGAATTGAAACTCGGTACACAGTTAGGTCTCCATCAGATAATTCATCTGCATGTGTTAAGGTTGGGGTGCTACTGCACGTGCGCACGTGCAGGGGGCGCTCCCAGATCTCGAGAACGGCTGGGCCGATTGCGCTCAAATTTGGTACACGGTTGGGGACCAGTTAGTAGGGTGCCGTGCAAAAGTCAGTTTGGACCCCGCTTGCACGTGCGCACGTGCAAAATGCCGCTTCCAGATCTCAGGAACGGCTGGGCCGATTGCGTTCAAATTTGGCACACCGCTAGCGACCGGTTAGAAGGGTGCTTTGCACAAGCCCGTTGGAAGTACCCTCTCGCCCTTGCGCACGTGCAGGGCTCACTATCTCGCTCGCTCGTTCTTCGCCCAAAAGGCGTTTTACTGGTTATTACATACCATACGTGCTGTATAAAATGTTGATATCCTGCTAGCTAGCTAAGTTCATTGGCCGTGTTTTCCCAAAAATTCGGTTTCGTGGAATAAGTATAAGGTTGAGAAAATCGAGTTTTAAAAAAGTGTTGATTTTTCTGGGGTAAGCCCGGCATAGGGGTAACGCCGGCCACCTCCCCAGCGCTTTACAACGAGTTGATGAAACCATTATGTGTTTTCCAAATATTAACGGAAAGTGAAATATTAAGGTACTGATTAGCTCTGGACATCTTAGAGTTTATGTCACTACTGGTATTTAGCTAGCGTCTACTACATATACAGTACAGGTCGATGAAAATCGTGATGCAAAATTGACAAAAAATGTGTATTTCAAAATTCCTTAAAATTTCTTTTTCTTTTTACCTTAATGCATCATATTGCATATCATTCGACTCGGCTGATGAAGAAGAACACAACGACACCATTTTTGAAGCTCTAGCTCCATTGTCTGTCGCGTTATCTGCAAAAACGTAGTTTGACCCTAGTTGACCTTAAGTGACATGACTGGCTTTGTCTATGATAACATGTTTATTTTCGAAATTTATCTTTGATCTAGGTGTAAACCAAACCTGCTCAGTACCTATTATCTCATGGAAAACAGTGGTTTAGTGGCATTGCTCTCGGTTGGGGGTAAGCTTGGCCACTCGCCCGGGGTTACCCCAATGTGCTAATTTTTATTTTAGAACAGCGATATTCGAAAAAATGTCATACTTAAGCCAGCCTGCCTCGTCACCCCTCACTACAAACACTTAAACGGTCCTTACATAACATTCGTATAAATATTAGTACTGTATGGTATAACATTAACAGTGCAAGATATCTCACTTTTTAGCTAAAAACCCTTAAAATATCATTTTTGCGCTATAACTTTAACAATATGCAATTTTTGTCAGCCTTAACTTTTTTGCTGGCGTTACCTTAGCTGCCACGCTGAAAGGACAAACAGTTAAGCATTTTATTGTGAATAATTTAGCCGGAAACGGGGTGGCCGGGCTTCCCCCGCGCCCGGGCTTCCCCCGGCTTCCCCTACTCTAATTATGCTCCATCAAATGGCTGAAAGTAGTGTGTATCGAACAGACGTAAACGTTGGAGGAAGAGATGATATTGACTCATCCTTACATACCTATTGCATTGACACCGGCCGCTCCCCCGGTTTTCCAGGGAGGCTAAAAGGCAAAATTCAGTTAAATCAGAGGATCCTCGCGAAAACAGTGGCGCGAGCTTACAACGAAGGTAGCCGCGCCATGAGAAAGCGATATACCAGCACCTCAAACATGCACTCTTATGCATTGATGCATATCAACCTGTCAACATAGATGTTGAAGCAGCTGTGACGTTAAAAAGATTGTTTCCTCTTGAAGGGCTTGGAGAAGCGAGCAAGCACGTGCAGGTCTTTTTCGACGATGGTATCCCCATAACCGAACATATGAACAACCGCAAACACCATGTAACATCGCAACCAGCCCAGAAGACGTGATCTTAGTTCCAAAAAGCATGCAGCAGACATCGGTGATGGCATTCCACCCGGTGACTTCTGACGGTCACATGGGGCCCCCTTATTTTACGGAATCGGGAGGGGGTTCGCCATTACAAGGTACCTAACCATTATTCCGGCAGTTCGAATCAACAAGATGAAAGAAGGCAACATCCTGCATGGAGTGATGCTCTTCGAGGAGTCAGCTCCCCGGCATACAGTAAATTAAATACAAAATCTCCTGAAACGGAGGATCCCGCAAACTGTACCCAAGGGAAAATGCCCCCTTCCTCAGTAAACCTCAGCCCGCACAAGTTCTGGTTGCTGGGGCGTATTTGCGGGTGAATCTAACGAACGTCCCCATGTGACTGTGGTGAGCCTCAGCAGTGCCAGTTGGCTACAATTACGAGCCATTTCAGACGGAAGATCTCGCCGCGCGTGCGGCCAGTCCAGGCACCGATAAGAACTGATGCAGGTGGACCACGGTGACCATATTTGGTGAAAATGTGTGAAATTGGTGTGACAATATGTGATCCAAATTTGAAATGCCTATGTTTACAAATTTCTAAGCTACGGCGTTCCAAATGCAAATATGTATTTTGTCCCAATTTATCTGCCCAACCCTGTATCTCCCTTTTGAACAGCTGCCCTTGTTTGGTTCACATACCTGATATAACGAACAGAGCTTATGCACCTTCAAGAAAATGAAGCAAGACAAGTGTTGTTTGTCTATTACCAAGCAAATAGTGCACCCCATGGAGTAACTAGACACATCACTCTCTGACCACATATGACAAGTGTTTGATTTACCTGTTACCATCTAGGCATCTAGGCATAACTACACCACACTTCATTCTGGTCGTTTCATTATGGATGTTTGAGCATACAAGTCCGTGGCCATTAGTAGTTGTTCTGTGTTCTTTTCTGTTTGTAGATGCTAAATGTCAGCAAAGCTCACTAACTCCATCAAAAGCAGCTCCGGTCATCAATGGGGGCTCGCGGCGAGGCTGTTTGCTCGTCGCCACAATGCCATCGACCTTCTGAGGACGATTCGCTAGGCGGACCGGCGCGGTGCAGGGGCGATGTCACAGGGGCCTGTGGTCTGCACGACTTATTCATACGAGCCCACCTACTGCCGGACGAAACTTTCTGAGGTCAGCTCACATGGGCATTGGGCAGCAAAAGGAGCTCGCTATCTGCCACTTCCACTCTATGCAGTGTATGCGATATGATTTTATCATATCAGCCCGCTGTTCTGGAATTGCTCGTCCACTGCTAACGCCGCCTCATTTGAGTGACTCGATGTTCGGGTGGTCAGACGGTTAATTACATAATAGCTTCATGCTGACAGTGAGTCTGCCTGCCCAGAGGGCGTCAACTTCTGTCATCTCCAGCAGGCATGTAACTCCATCATGTTACCACCATATGAGCCCTTCTATTGGATATTCGAGTGCCGTCAAGAGCCCGTTAGTGGCGATAGGCTATTAGTCGCTTATTGCTCGAGTTTGTCAAGGGTCATTTATGAGCCGTAATGAAGCCTGCCAATGGTTCTCTGACTCATTCATTAGTTCGCGGGGTAGGGTGAGGCAGATGTTTGCGCTTCCATTCTCAATAGATTGATTGCCGAGCCGCTGAGTTGACCCTTACTTACTTGAACTGTTTGTGTGTAGAACTTTGAAAGAAAGCACTTTATTTGTATGCAATATGTGGCAAAATTTACAATTACTGAATTATAGAAATACATATGATACAGTAAACTATAAAAGTTGTTTTGCTTATTGTCGTACGAATCATGAAGACTGGGGTGCATGGTGGGGCCGGTGACACCAGACCACCTCTGGTCTCAAACGTCGAAGTGCATTAGTTTCATATATCACACTCGAGCTTGTCAAGGGCCATTTATGAACCAGCCCTGCGTCTGTCGGCGTCCAGCCACAGCCTCCTCTGGTCCAGCCCGCCACCTAATACAGGATTTCACCCGTCGCTTCCGCCTCTCAACCGAGCGTCTGCGAGCCACGCTGAGCTCGGTCCGATCACCCTCGACCGGCGGACCATTCAAATTGCATCTGTCGCACGTGCCGGCCGTCACTTCATAACGGACCCCCGACCGCCTGTCGCGCCACGGTCCAACACCACTGGGGCAGGGGAAGCGATCGGTCGCGGCACTAGACAACGGAGACGCCCGGAGTCAACGGAGACGCTGGAGACGCGCAGAGACGCGCGAAGAGGAACGGAAGGAACGGAAACGGCGGTGGTCGGCCGGCGCCGCGTCGCCGGATGACGTATGAAAATGGGGCCGGCTTGGGGCGCAGGAAATCGAGCGCAAAAAAGCCGCTCCGATGATGGCTCGGAAAGAGCAGGGACGGCCTCAGCCGGTGGCGTTAGTGGGCGGCGTTTTTGTTCCGCGAAACTTCTGTGTCGGTGTACGTTTATTCCGATAGCATCGACAGTTGGGCCGGCACACAGATCCGCCCTCACTATATTGTGATTCTTGGAACCGGTCAGAATTTAGCGGCCGTCGGCATATGAACTGGCAGGCTCGATTGCCGATCCACCCATGCAGATGTTCTATTGGCGCGATATTAAAGCCAGCGGGCCTCGGCGTGTACTTTGATCGGACGGGCTGCTTTGACCGGCCAGCTCGGACGGCTGACCGGTCGGTCGCCAGGCGGAGACAAACGAACCGCCGATAATTCTGATATTATATCAGAAAAAAAATGTTAGCATTTAAATCACACGCGCTATTTGGATAGTTTTGGTGATGGAGCTAAAATATTTACATTTACAAAAAAGACGTCAAGAAATGAATCAGAAAATTAACCTTAACGGCTAGTTGACTATCTAGCCATGACAAAGCACCAAGAACCTAGTTTTCGGTCAACTCAAAGACAAAGACAGCTCACCAGACTCACCTTGCACATCCACGCATCCCATTTGACTGCGCATTGGTTTGGCGTTGAGCTGGCACATGTAGCAGCCGTGGTCGGACGCCTTCAGCTGGCGAATGTGGATACTCCAGGTGTGCTGCATGTCGTGGCTGACGCTGATTCGTGGGTTGGTCGTCACCACCTGGTCGTGCACCGTCAGGATGGTGCCCGTATCCGACTTCATCCAGCCGACCTGTACGGCAGCGAGAGAGGGGTGCTATGTTAGTCCGATACTGCAGAGAAAGAGAGAGAGAGAGAGAGAGAGAGAGAGAGAGAGAGAGAGAGAGAGAGAGAAAGAGAGAGAGAGAGAGAGAGAGAGAGAGAGAGAGAGAGAGAGAGAGAGAGAGAGAGAGAGAGAGAGATACAAGGTGCATGTACTTAGTTATTTGATTTTTTTCACAAAAGGTATTTTGCTGGAGCCTAGAGAGGGGGGTACTTTCAATGAATGACCTTTAATCGTCGGTGATAAATCTCGTTATGAAAAAGAAGAAATAATACGATAGGGTTCTGGTGGCTGTCTTCGTATAGGGAAAGCCCGGCTCAGCAATGAACCGTCGTGGGTCACCCTTGAAATGCCTAAATTTTTACCGGTGGACGAGCATTCACAAAATATACGGGACAATGTTTCCCCATAGCCTACATATTGGGCACATTCCATGAGATCCCCTCAAAGTTGGTCGCAATTGATGGTTTCATCGCCTTAATTCCGTCGGTCACCTAGCACCATCGCCATTGCTCTCAACGGCATGCCCAGGACACCTGAACTCATTGGCATGTCAAATTGCTTTCCGGTTTTCCCATAGCCGTAAAGTCTTGCGCCTCAAATTGAAAAGGGGTTTTACATCTGTAGCCGACTGGAATTGCCAGGCGAGTCAAGAATCCAATAACCCGTCCGACCATTCGACTCCCAGAAAGAATTAGAGCCGGCCGGTCGGGTGGTCCAGGCCGGGGCGTGCAGGCAGCGGTGGCCGGCCGCCGTCGAGAGCGCGCAGAGGCACCAGCCGGCCGGTGCCACCGTGTGCTGAATGGTAACATCCGACACTCGTCCCACAGCACGGAGAACGCAACTGGGCTCGTAAGGGACGCTTAAAGCTCTCGCCAGAAAGTGACTTTATGTAATGGGCTCCCATTTAAATAGAGTTGTTTGACATGTAATTTAACTCACCGGTGCTTATCGCATCGCTTCTCACTGCTTTTAGAGAGCAACAAGCAAATCTCTTGTAACGTTTGACAGTGTACTTGGTTGGCATTCAGTAAACGCCAAAGCTAAGTGGAGCAAACAATTGTGGTGAGAATTTTATCTTCCAAATTTTCCACTGTGATATGCCAAATTAATAGCATGCAACATAATATGTTAAAATGATCTTTGTGAAACCTTCCTTACAATACATATAAATCATTTATCTCATCGTAAAGTTTGTCAGAAAGGCGTTTACATTTTGCTGAAAGTCTCTGTTCGTTCTGCAGCAAATACATCAGTAAGGTTTGGTGCTGGAATGTTTGTGAACAAACACTGCTTAATTCTATTGCCGCTCTTGGTTCACAATTTGAAAGTGTCCTAACTTTTCAAAATGGAGCGGTACGATCTTGCGAAAACAAATCGTCCTGCTGGGCAATTCCTGGCAGATGTCTCGCTCGCCGGATGCAGTGCCCCGTTGAGAATTGCACATGACATTCGCCCTTGCCAAACTATGTATGTCGCTAAGCTTTCCTAACTTCTTTCAGCCGCGGACACAGCGTCCCTCCCCCGCTGGCGCGGCTTTGATACATGCCATTCAGTTAATTAAATATCACTTTAAAGGTGCTCCAAAGCCCGTTTTGAGACACCCGCGAACACCTTGCCGCTTTATACGGAAACTTTCACAAGTGTTTTCTTTATTTTCACTCTGTCTCAGTTTGATCTCCCTGCGTTAAAGTGACCATCCCACCTTACCATTAAATTTGAGTTGAGATAGACAAATTGGGGTCCTTGGCCCACAATTTCCGATTCCGTCACTCACAACATCGAGGAATGCCTTAAATCGAAAATATTAAATTTCAAAGTTACAGTTCTTGGATTCAGAGGGACTAATGCATTTGAATGCCCCTTCTGACTTTGTAACGTCAGCGTAAATCTAGCGATTTTTTAATCTGATACTAAAAGACAATTGTTGTTGTGGTGGTATATACCTACTGCTTTGCGCGCAACATCTGCCGCACTTTTAGGATGCCAAATTTTTGGTTCCAACTGACGTCATAGGAACAGGGGAGATTCCAAAAAGTAAACAAAAATTAAAGCCTAATATCTCAAAAACCGGCGAATATTTTTCTGTGAAATTTGGTAGGTATTCATTTTTGTTCTTTCTGAACCACGGTACATGACATTTATACCAATTCGTTAACTTTTTGAAGGTGGTAGGGTTCCTTTAAATGCCCCCATTTGTCATTGTGACACCTGTTGCACCCATTTTTAGAGCCGAGTCAATGTTTCATGTCTCTGACCCACCAGTCTCGGCGACAGTTTTGACCACCACCCTCAGAACAGCTGATCCTGTGCCGATTCTAACGGCCCGATTACTCGACGAGCCCAAAGAGGAAGCGACAGAACAAAAGGAAAGGAAAAGCTATGCGAGAGGTAGGGTATGAAGGTGAGTGTGAAAAAGACAGAGGGATGTGTAAACAAATAAGTCAATTATCTCCTAACACAAAAAACGAAAAACAAACCTAAACAAATGAGAGCAGACGAGAGAAAACTGAAGGAAGAGGAGAGGAAGATGCATCAAGCGTGAAAAAGAGAAAGCTGGAGCACGGGCGAGAAGGGAACTAAAATAGCAGTCGTTTCGCCTCGGCTCCCGCCGCGCCGGTATCACTTGTGCATCCTCTGGAGTGTGAAATAGACGAATTCTTCAAATGTTGATTCTTTCCCCGAATATCTCGAGCATGAAATAAAACGGATCTGTAGCCTTGATAGCGAGCTATGTTGGACCTATCAAAATTCTCGACCATTTCTGACATAGTGGTTTAATAGTCTGAAAATACGGGCTCTCCGTCAGGATAGCGCACCATAGATTGTCAGAACGGTTCGAAAATTGTTACGGTCGCTGCGATCGGCGCGCTCGGTCGGTGGTCGTCGACACGAGTCGCCGGATAAAGGGCTCGCTCATATGCACATTACTGAGCTCAGAGTGTCTCGTGGCTCTTCGCCGGGCAGACAGGCGGCAAACGGAGCAGGCCGACGCGACGGCGGTGGTCGGGGGGAGGCGGCCGGCCGATCGGAGCTGCCAGCGGTGGCGACAGCGGCGACGGTGGGGATCATAGATGCTGTCAGTAAAACCGAACCCTACTCCACCGTAAAGGTCCATCCTCGCCATGAACTGCTAACGCCGCCTACACATCGCCATTTGTAGTACTACCAGCACCGCTCCTGGCGCCGGCCCTGTCGTGCCGGCTTCCCATCCCGACGGACGCTTTTCTCGCGCCTGCCCGGATCTTAAGTGGGTGCACATATGCTCTTTCACTTAGCCGTAAGATAAATGGGTGGCGGCCACAATGGTCGGAGCTACGTGTCACGACTGGGGAAGGGAGCCGGCGCGCCGGCGCCGCCGGCGGCTGCTACAGCTCCCAGACCGATGACGGCGAGGTGTCGCTATTTTTCAATCGGACAACGCTACCAGCTGTAGATCAGGCCCGATATTGGCAGCACAATGATCTATACATGCTCGGAAAAGCTCAGTAAACTGTGGAAGACGGCGACCCCCGCTCCGGCGGCGATTCTGCCGAGACGGGGAAAGGAGGGGACGGTGGACGGTGGACGGTGGACTGTGGACGGTTGACGGCGGACTGTGGACGGTTGACGGCAGACGGCAGACGGCGGACGGTGGACGGCGGACGATGGAAGGTGGAAGGTCTATTTCAGAGCTGAATGTAGACGGGATGGAAGACGAACAATAATACTGTAGAGGAGCTTCCTGTGTGCAGATAGGATGAGCTTTTAAAATATTTGTTGGCAATGTTTCATAAAGTTCCATTCACGCATTGCGTGACATTTTGCTGCACCGATTTTCGCTGCGCACTTGCGCAGCCGACCTCCTGACGCTGATATTAACGAGGCAAATACAGCGCAATCATCTGTCTGTCACCATGTGTTTCATAGTGATGGGAGGAGCGTTTCACATTGGTGCTCATTTGTCCCACCCTGGACCACTGAGAGTGGCAGAGACCGATCGGATGAGCGCCGTAACCGCCGCCTTGTTCTCGGCTCCGAATCGGAACGCGCGGCGTCTAACCTCGTTTCTGACGTCTAATTGAAAGAGCTTCAGTGCGTCGCCGTAAATCGGTGGATACGGGCTTTATAACGGATTGGAACCGGTGTCAGCAGTTGGGGTGACTTTTGGCGGAGGGCCAGACACCCCGCAGTGCCGCCGCTGAACGTACTCGTCCGTCCATCCGTTTGGTCGGCTCCGGCGAACAGAATGATAGAAACGATGAGACAGCTACGACAGCCACTCGCAGTAATGCTCGAGAGATGCACCATGAAATGATCGATCGAGCCAGCCCAGATGCACAGTTCAACGGCATCATCACATTCTGTCGTGAAATTAAGAGAACAGCGATGACTTACGCAAGAGGCATTTACGCTCCTGGCTCCTGGCATTTACGCTCCTGGCTCCTGGCCCTGGGACTGACCTTATAGTTTCCGACGTTCTGCACGGAGCACTGCAGGGTGACATCCTTTCCTACGGGTGCCGTGACGTTTCCGATCCACTTGACAAAGGTAGGATCGCCCTCCTCCGTCTCAATGCCGTATTCAATTTCTGAAACAGATCCACAGCAGTAAACGTAACGGAAAAATAAGTAAAGACGGCTGCAGCTGGCAACAGTGAAACTAAAAGACATTAAAAAACGTGTGCCTACGCAACTTTTTCTTTTGTTTGTTTTTTTTTTATTGCGTGTGTAAACTCGAGGTAGGGGAAAGTGGGGTAAGACGGGCACCTTAACTTTGGAGCCATTTTTCGGCCGGTTAGAAACATCATAGAAACGGGAAACTGGGTGAAAACCTTTTTCAGACATTTTACTTTCATTTGCCAGAAGATGAGACTTAGACCTGATTCAACAAATAAACTGCAGCTATTTTTGCAAAACCTTGCAAAAACCCGTCTTACCCCACCCCATGGGGTAAGACGGTCACATGGGTAGGGCAAGACGGCCAGCTTCTTTCACCGATCAGCGCAGCTCGCAACAAATGCCCGAGATTAGCCGCATTTATACAGTCGCTCGTTGGTCTCAAGTGCTTCGGAAATGGCAGTATACGAGATTCGTGCAGAAGGCGTATGCTCCTATATAGGCCCTAGTTCAGAAGCCATGTAGAACCGTTTTTCACATTCATTATTCGAGAATAAACTGTGCCGAAGGAATATTGCTAACATGTCTGTGAGTATCGGAATCGAACATATTCTTATTAGAAATGCTTCTTTTTTCCTACAGCAACAAAAATATTTTCACCATTACAGACCCATTGGGTTCATAGTTGCCCGTCTTACCCCAAACTCAATGTCAGAAGTTCAGCACGATTTTTCGCTGTGGACAATTTGATGCAGACAAAGCAAATCCGCCGTAAATGAACACTGTTGGCATATGAGTGTACCACAAGTGATTGCGAGTTTTTAACTCTATAGTGCTGTACACAAAAGCTTGCACAATACATTATGGATGTTTTCAATGAAATGAGTGTTTTAAAGAAATCAAAATAAAAGATTATCGACTGAACACAAATTCACCAGACTTGAATGGTGGTGTGTAGTGGGAAAGGCAATTCTGGTCCTAACTTTTCTTGCTCGTAGCGCTATTGGTTTGGTCTGCAGAAGGGGTGCCCGTCTTACCTACCCTGACCGTCTTACCCCACTTTCCCCTAAGTACGAGGTCGATCCCGTGCAGCGAAAAAAAAAAACTGGTGAACTCAAATAGTAACGTCACAAAACTCCACGTAATCGCTTTTGATGTCCCTCGTGTCTATATAGTCTATGTCTTCACCGTCGCTGATTCCGATCCCCTGCCTTCTGCAAACCAAGGACGTTGGTCTTTTGTCTCACATTCTTCTGGCGCAGTCTCCGTGTCCGTGTCCGGTTCGCTGTCTCCGTGTCCGGGTCAGAATACCCGCCTCTCCTCAGCGAACGTTCATCTCCCGGCCTCGGGACCACCAGCCGGAGGGCCTTTGAACCGGTGATGGGCGCCGTTTGGTGCACCGCCGGGCCGATTGGCCCGCCTAAGAGGCGCTTCTGTAAGTGGCGACGGTAATACGCGACTGCCGGTGACGGCATCCACTTAGCCGACAGCAGTACTGAAGATCGTTCGCCGAGGACCAATCAGAGGGTGTCGCACCTCCCCGACCTGACTCCGGTCAACCGCCCCGGGGCACCGGCAAATTGGACTGGCTGAGAAGGTACTGAAGCATGGAGATGAGCAGTAAACTGGCGGAGGTAGCCGTAAGTCATATCGGTGCCGGCTTTATTTACTTCCATTATTTATCACAGACCTTTCTGACAATTGCATATGTACCGGTACGTGTTATAATTACCTAGCCACGAAAACATTGAACGTAAAAAGGAAGACCCCGGAACCCTAACAGATTACAAGTTTTTCTACTTATTTAGATAATTGTTGATCGACCGTTTTGGTCCATATAACAACGGTAAGTAGTGATGTGCTACTGTTTCAAACTAGGTATACACCTGCCCACTAGAAATTGTGAGGGCCCTCCCTCACCACCGGTAACACACACAGTGCGGCGCTCTCTCGCACCAAACTCGGGCCGCGCGGCGTGCGTTGACGTGTTTATCGCTGATTCCAAGAGCGGTGTTTTCCCGTTGCTGGGACGTCACCTCTGTCTCTGCGACTGTCGCGGAGTTGGGCCATAAACCAGCCAGAGACAGCGGTGGCCGACTGCGAGGCTGCCCGCCGGAGCACCGCACACTTGGCTCTAGTTTGTGCTACCTGGCTGTGTGCAGCGGGATGCAATCAGGTGGCGTGCATGCCAGGAGGGAAATGCAGACACTCGTAATAAAGAAGGGCCAATGATGCTGATCTCAGGCAGCTTTTGCCAAATTGTCAGGGAACTCAGATTTGTTTTTCAATAGAAAAACACAGTTGTACGAATAGTGTTTTAACTATTGACAACAAATCTTCGGTTACGCACATTGGCAATGCAAAGGGTTCTGTGTTAAGACGAATGAAGATAAAATATAAGTTCTAAGAGCGTTCTAATAATTGCAGATTTGAAATGTGAAAATCACACAAATAGCTTGTGCAGTACGAGCTTCTCTGCATTCCTTTGAAGTCTCAGCTAAGAAATCAATTAATTCCAGTCCAAAACTGCATGGGTGTCTTTTATGCCCACACATAATCCATTGGCGTATTTTCAATGTAGGCACTCGTGCATTCGTATAGCGTGGTTCGTCATTCGCACTACCTGATCACAGTGACTGATACGAACCGAGAGGCGTTCGCTAAGACCGTCAGGGGATTTTCACAGAAAAGTTAATAGAGCTCGAATGTAGATTTTCTGTCAGCCGGAACGGTGCGAGATATGACCAGGACAGCTGACTTCCACGAACAGAAACATTGGATGTCGGCGCAGCTACGCTGAACCAGAAAGTTGCAGGATGATTTGTTTGAATGACCAAATGGGGTTGCATAATGACCTGCGGATGACAGTTGGCGTAGTTAAATGTCAGGGTGCAGTTTTCTTTGCGCAGTGACAGCTGTGATGAGTGATGATTGTCGGACTCCAACATTTGCTATTGAGCTGGAGATATCTGGTGACGACAAAAGATCCGTCATTGGCGACTTCATAGGACGGCGGTGGTTCGCTGGTGACTCAATACTGACGCTAGAAGTTGTGGGCCACGGTGGCGTTCTGTCCGTCGTTGGTGAGGCTGCACATACCCACAAAGCGCGAGGGTCAGTGTTGGGCAGTGGAACGATCTATCATCGGTTTAAAGGCGAACGATATATGGTTAAATAAGACAGCCTACATGCTTAGAAACGGATACCTTCCATTGGTGTAGGTCACATTCACTCGACAATTCCGTAACTTTATTCGTCTGATACTTCCCGAGCAAGTTTGTGCGCAATTGCTCCAGCCTCACATAGCCAGTTAGTTATCAATTCAATAGCATGGTTCCATCCGAATTACCAACAGCTGACATTAACGGCGCTACATACGTGCTACATACTCACGAGTAGTGCTGCTGGTATTTTTGTTACAACCAAGTCCGCGTGGGTGGCAGGTATGTTGAAACTGTCACCTTGTCCTCAGCATGATAGGGTACGTTGTTTATATCTGTGTCGCCCACACGACGTCTTTAGTTCACGCTGCATTGTGCAGAAGCTGACTACCGTCGTATGGCACACGTTTTACGTACCGTGTTAAAAACTGGGTTAGCAAATGAAGCGAGGGGCAGCGTCCTTATAGCAAATAGACACTTGTGAAGCAATGAATGCTGGATCTTTCTGAGAAGTCTGCACACATTGACAGTAATATTTGTGCGCAGGGCACGTATGGCCATTCGGCTCAGAATACGTGCTGTTATCACCGGAAATGATTTTGTCTCTTTTCTTGCCATCTTCCTTGGCAACTGATCCCATGTTCCAATAAGGAGCAGATCGAAACATAGATAAATCATGTTGCATCCAAATTTGTATTCCTGCAAACACTCATTGATTTGAATGACGTAAAATGGCTTCTCTGTGCTTATTTACTATCAATCAGCCAATCTCCGGGACTTTCTGATCGCGTTTGGCAATGAATCGGCCTTTTGATATCTAATAATCAGAGTGTACCGTATTACGCAGGTCATTATGACATGGTGAGCTCATTCATTTTTTGCGGAAGCCGGAATAGCATGGTTGCCATGAATGAAAAACAAATGCTCTGGAAAGCTGACTTCCAAACATCTCATTCTTAAATGTTTTCATTTCTATCATAGGTCGCTGCATGCATTGTGAGTTTAAAGATAACAATAGCCCCCCCCCCTCCCTCACCCCACCCTTCAGATGAAGGATGCAAAATTTACGTTATTTTTTTATTGATTGAATGGTGTGAAACGTTTTTTTAGCATGATTATAATTATAATGGAAATCAGATGGAAAGGTAACCTTTTGTTCATAACTAAAATAAGCTAAAAACAAATCCAAAATATATTTTCGGTGCTGGACCTTCTTCAGTGGAATGACAAAAACACGAAAGAGTGATACATTTTAAATCTAGATAAGTAAGTACGCACTCGCAACGCTTGGATTCTTATATTGCTTGTTTTACATAGCATCGAATATTACACATGGGAAGCATGAATATATAGTCATGCAAGGGATAAAGACTCTTGAAAATCTTATTATTGCTTATCAAAGAATGTTTAACCTTCTGTCTTTACATAAAAGCGTGTCACCCAAGCAGTTGCCAAATGAAAAGCCTATACCTACTCGCCTGAAAATATACCATATTCCTACGTAGGGGACGACCTGTATCCATTGAATCTTTTATTGCTATTAGAGGTGAGGTCGACAGCTCCAGATTATTCACATCCGGAACGAAAAGCGAGCACCAGACTGGCCTGAACGGTGAACCGGACTCTCAGCACGCATGTACCGCTCAGATCAGAGCAGGCACCGACGTTTTGAAGCTGAGATGACAGGGAATTAACGCAGCGCAACTATTCCAAAAAAGTAGTGAATAATTTATGAAGCCGTTTCTTTATAAATGCATATCAGCACCTACCCTGACTGTAATAATGACCTTACTCTCCTCTAAGTCGGAGAAAATGTCTACCTCTCTATCATACATGATACTGAGGGAAACGCCTTATCGCGGACATAACCGACAGCAGCCGGTGACGATTTCTGTCAGCTAATGGTTCGAGCTAAGTTACGACGGCAGTCCAGCGCCGGGCCGGCCTCCGCGACACTCAATGTGCGGCTAATCGGCCGACAAACGTGACGCTCACAGGCGCCAGTGCAGAAAATAAGTGCCTTTGTGAAGATGAAGATATTCGTCTCGCTTGCTAACAACGTCACTAACCTCTTATGCACATTAGGCTTGACAATTGGCTGAAGATGAAGTGATAGTTTCTTTCATGGGCTGCAGTTAAAATAGTTGATTTCAATCCTGGGAGGAAGTGTTAAGTCTGTGCAAGTCTGTTGATTCTTGTGATGAGCCGGCAATTATTTTATGATCTTTCTTCGCGGCATAATCTCTATTTCAGAGCAAACTTATCTGCTCTGACTGTGTGCGTATGGTGAGACTCAACGGCGTGGAGATTTAAAGGATTTCCGGAGATCTTTCAATGCTTCATTACCGAGTGAGGGTGGCACAGGCCTTGCAAATAGAAGTGTTTCAAACCAACAATTATTCTTTCAGTGCGTACTAAATAAGCCCAGCACTTAAATTATTAAGCTGTGTTTCACTGTAGTGCAATGACATCCTTATACTATTTATGGCATGCATTTAATGTAAAATTGAAGGTAGCCATTAAAAAGGCGTTGCTATCTAATTCAGTCGTGTTGTTACCGTACATTACTCGTATATGTAATTGGAACAAATATTGCCGCTTGGAATCTAGTGGCACTTACAAAAAATGTCATTTCGTACAACACGTCACACTTATTTCGATGAGCTTGGCTGTTCAAGCAGTCACATTCATGCTTCACTGGTTTGTCATGCAGATGAAAATACACTCGGTGTTCTCACCCTGCAATTTTATTTGCACCAACCAACTGAACGTGTGCGCAACGGACGCACATTGGGGCCCTCCATTTCATCCTAGACACCAGCATGACGCGCGGTATCTGCAATTTGTCTCAATGGCGCGGTGATATATTTACCGATAGCTTACTGTGCCGATTGAACTATTGGCACGATCGGCCGCGTCTCACATATCGCCAGACAGCCGGCGAGATTTAGAGCCGCATCAATTATCCCAGAGTGGAGTTTACGATTAATTAATTCGCGCCTCTCTTTCTCCCTCTCTCTCTCTCTCTCACTCTCTCTCTCTCTCTCTCTCTCTCTCTCTCTCTCTCTCTCTCTCTCTCTCTCTCTCTCTCTCTCTCTCTCTCTCTCCCTCTATCTCCCATACCCCTCTCAAAGAAAGTCAATCCTCTCATACCGATCACATTGCATGCATTCTTGTCTCTTACTTCTCCCAATTAATCCAATATCTTCTCGCAACCCCACAGTGCATCTAGCCAGCATCCGCATGCACGCCACCATGGGGACTAAGGCCGCTCGATAATCTAGTATTCAGTTCCGTCTTATTTCACTGTGTCAAAACATCGTGACGCTGTTGCAATGAGATTACAGCAGGGACAAAATGCTTCAACAATCCCTGCGCGTCAGATGCATGCCTCCGTCGGATGTGTATCTTCGTACTAATCTTCTAACCGTGAGTACTCGTAAATCCCTTCTGTCTTACCTTCGCTGTCTCTGCCATGTCCTTATAGCTCGCCGTTCATGTGTTTCTGCGTCTGACCTCTTGCAACGCCTCACTGCTCGGCTGTGTCCGTCCCACCCGTTCTCACCATTCCTATGTTTCCACCTCTCCATTCTCACCGTTGGCGTCTCCGTCTCCGTTTTCACTCTTCCCGTCTCCGCTTTTCCGGTTCTCACCGTTTATATCTCCGTTACACCCGTTGCCATTGTTGTTGTCTATTTCTCGTCCTTTCTCACCGTTCCTTTGTCGCCGTCTCCTAGCTCTCACCATTCCTGTCCCGTTTCGTCTTTCTCACCATTCCCGTCTCCGCTTTCTCCCATTCTCACCGTTGCTGCGTGAGTTGCGGCAGTTGTGTCTCGGCCTGCTCCTGTCTCACCGTTGCTGTGTCCTCCGTCCAACCTATCTCACATTAGCTCTATCCGTTTCCCCCGCTCTCACCGTAGCTGGGAATCTCCTTCTTAAGGCCTGGCTACACTATGCATTTTCTGCGTGCGTTTTGTTTTGCGGGTTTGCGTGTTTTGCGTAACATCGTTGCGGACATACATTAGAAAAGGCTATAATTAATATAATGTTTATGTTAAGTATATATAAAAGTTCATATAACTTTTACATTGGCTAAAATTTAACATAAAAAACATACCATAAAACGTCATATCGATTTTTTTGAACGATATTACGTAAAAAAACGAAAACTCGCGAAAAATGCACGCAGAAAACGCATAGTGTAGCCAGGCCTTTACCCTGTATCACCATTCCCGTCTCCGTCTTTCCCTGTCTGACCGTTGCTGTGTCCCTCGTCTAACCTATCTCACCATAGCCACCCTAGCCTCTCACACCCGCTCACCGTTACTGTGTGAGTTGCGGCCGTCGTCGCCGTACCGGTCGGCGGCCGATCGTGCCGAGATGTGCAGCGCCAGCAGCAGCGTCACTCGGACCGAGCGGGCCATCGCGCCGACGGGCACGGCCGTACCAGCACTGCCGCCTCCGGCGACGACGCGCCGTGGACGACGGACGGTCGACGGCGGAGGGTGGGCGGCGCACCCGCGCGCAGGCCCGCGGGGGTTCATGACCCGACCGGCCAGGGCGCGCTGGGCGACATACACCTGCGCGAGGTTTTTGCGAGCCGCGGGTGAACAGATGAGGCCATCCAGAAAGGCACGGTGTGGTAGGGAGATATCTAATGCCGTTTTAAAATATACCATCGGTCTTGATTTCAGTTAGCCTAGTAGCAAAAGCGCTACGCCGTGTGTATTGTGTAGCTTACAATAGATTGCATGGGTTATTCACAACTTACGTGCAATAGTTGTAAGCTGTTGTAAGCTAGCATCTGGACTTCCATGCAAGGATGTGTGTATGACTCCTATACAAATTATCAGAAAGGTCCCATACGCTAGCAGCCCACCGACCATTCGACTTAATGGCATTGTAGTTGGCCTTTTGCTCTTGACTTTAGCATAGTTCCACGCCGCTAACAGTGTCGGAACCTCGCGAATACCGAACTCCCAGGCTACGCATTTCAGTTGTGATATTTTAGTCTTGCTAGGAAAATTATATTGCTGAGCATCAACGATCAAAGCTTTGACGTGGTTTACACTGTTCTAATGGGCAAAAATTCATGAATAAACACTGTATTATTATGCAATGTTGTACTGTAAATAACTTCACTAAGGTTTCCCGAATTAGAGCAACAACGATTGGAGCAATAAGGCACTCCTGTCATCCGCATGCATTTACATGTGATCAAAATGCATGGAGCAAAATTAAATACTAGAAAGTAGGAAATCTTTGAACTTCCATCCTATTCTTTGGAAGGTTGCAAATTATGTGTTTCCATAAGTAGGTAAACATGAAGCTATTTTGAAATAAAAATTTTCATGAAAAAACTTCCACACAATGATAAATATGCCACACTGGCCGTTTTCACGGCGGGACTTTCGCGCAGGAACCTATTTGATGCCTGTAAAGTACCAACCCTTTAAGGCCTTAGAATCTTTACAACTTACTCTTTATTTTGAAATAAAAATTTTCATGAAAAAAAACTTCCACACAATGATAAATATGCCACACTGGCCGTTTTCACGACGGGACTTTCGCGCTGGAACCTATTTGATGCCTCGAAAGTACCAACCCTTTAAGGCCTTAGAATCTTTACAACTGTTCCTTCAAAATTCGTTCGTCTTGTTCCTTCAAAATATTTTTAGAAGTTGTAATCCAGGCAATTTTCGCCATCAAATCGCTTATTTATTTACAAACAAGTCAATTTTTGGTCCAAGTAGCCTACCTTTCGACTATGAGGGATCAAATCAGCCTGGCAACTAGATACCCGGCTTCTAACCCGGTTTACCTAGCATATTTGACGAGGCTCTAGCTCGTTAATTTGGCGATAATTTCGATGCAGTGGTCTTCAAATATTTAGAGGGGATCATTTTGTAAATTGTTCAGCACCATTGGCATCTTTTGCAACATCACGGACGGAGATATAAGCTTGCAACAAACCCTATGTAAACGCGTCTTCTGTTTCACCGGCCCGATGCTGCGCGCGCCCTGGTGGTGACCGGGCGCAACAAATCCGCCGCCGCCTTAGCAGTGACCTAGACCTCCGCCGTCTGCTGCTGCTCCAAAGCCAAGCCAGCGTGGAATTGGGAGAGCTCGGTCAGCCATGGTGGTGCCCGGGGGCGTCAAATCCGCCGCCGCCTTAGCAGTGGCATTGACTTCCGCCGTCTGCTGCGGCTCCAAAGCCAAGCCAGCGTGGAATTGGGAGAGCTCGGTCACCCGCAGCTGGCAGCTCAGTATATTTCCTAATCGTTGTACTAGCATTATATAGACTTGATAATTTCATAAACGTGCTTACGCTTTAGGTTTACCTGAGTGATAAACCCTTAGTTAAAATAAATTAATGTAATATTTAGTAGAAAAACAGCAAAACTAACGGGTCTCTTATTCGAAGGGTGGAAAGCTTACTATATAAAACTACTAAAATTCCTGAGGCAAAAAAAGAAAGTACTAAAATTCCTGAGGTATTAAAGGACCAAACTGGTTACGGAGCGAGCGAAGCGAGCGTAGTCTTTCCTTAGATTAACGGAAATTTCTGAGTATGAGCGGCCGGCCGGCCGGCCGGCCGTGGTCACGCTTTTGCGAGGCTTATATCTCAGCAACCACTTGACCGATTTACACGCGGTAATTTTTGTAGGGTAGCTTCATTCCTTCTACCAAGTATTGGACTATTCCCGATGCATGGGGGTGACCCCTTATGCACGTGCCACGTGCAAAACGAAGAGGTGTCAGTTTTGTAATTGTTGCAATATCTCGGTAACTACTTGGCCGATTGCGCTGAAAGTTGGCATGTAGGTAGGCACCCACTAGGCACTGCATATACATGTGCCAGAGTTGGGGTGCTGCTGCACGTGCGCACGTGCGGGGGTCGTTTCCAGATCTCGGGAACGGCTGGACCGATTGTGCTCAAATTTGGTGCACGGTTAGGGACCGGTTAATAGGTAGCGTGCACAAGTCAGTTGGGACCCATTTTGCACGTGCGCACGTGCAGGGTGCCGCTTCCAGATCTCGAGAACGGCTGGGCCGATTGTGCCCAAATTTGGCACATCGCTAGAGACCAGTTAGTAGGGTGCCGTGCACAAGTCAGTTGGAGGTACCCCTCGCAATTTCGCACGTGCAAGGCCCACCCTCTCGCTCGCTCCGTTAGTCGCCCCAAAAGGCGTTATACTGGTATATATTAGGTGCCCGCTATTCCTTCGTGAAAACGGCTACTTTATACCTACCACATATTCAGACAAAAATGCTTAATGTGTGGTGAACCGTGAGATGTGCCTTTTTGAGCCATGAACGTCCTGTCAAAAGGACCAAGCGATTCTCCAAGAACTCTTCGTCGTCTCGTGTAAGAGCAAACCGCTCATTTGATGCCGTGTAAGAACCGGTGTCGCCGGCACGGGCTGATCCGGATACGGTGGGATGCTCAGCCGCTGAGCCCATCTCGCTGCCACCTTTGACGCCCCGCGCCGGTAATTTGCATTAGAAAGGAGCGGCCAGTGGCAGGCATTGTGTCGCGCCGATGGCTTCTCGGCGCCGCCACGGCCGGGCGAAAGGCCGGCGATAATTAGCACCGTCTGCCGGCCGCCCGGTATAGCAGGGACTAAACACAGGGGTCCGGTCAGCGGCGGGGGCTAGCACCTCCCGCCGGCCGCCCGTAGCAGGGGGCACAGGATGTCAGTAGCGGAGGTCAGCACTAACTCTCGCCCAGTAGCGGGGAACAGGCACAGTAGCCCGGTGTGTGGCGGGGGCTAGCAGTTAACACCGACACCGGAATCAGTGGTGTGGATTAACACAAACAGGAAATAGCTTACTATCGCGACCATCACGAGTCACGACCATTACGACATGACGGCAGGAGCATCATGGCCAGGCAACGCAACGGTTGGACAGAGTCGGGATCAGTACCGTCGTTAGCAGAACTGCGTTAGTCGATAGGTGTCAGTGGAATGTGTATGTAATGTGTATTGCGTAGGGATAGATAATTTGGCGATCATTTAGTTCTTGCACTTGCAAGACTTCAAAGTCACTTTCGATCAAGCTTGGAAATATTCCATTGAGCATTAAATTGAACAATGTCGTGCACACATTTTCGCCCCGTCAGCTTTCTTGAAGGTTACGAAAGGAGCACTGCTTCCGAGTTCCGACGACGGGCGTCCAACAACTCTCACACCTGAAATCCTGCAGCTTTGTACGTGCTCTTCTGCATGCAATAACGGCTGACTGCGCCACTGAGGTCAGAGCTCAGCTAAGCCCTCTCGACCCTGGCTCACGGAAACCACCGCGGTGCCAGTCCCAAGGTGTAAAAGTAATCTTCCAACAGTCGTCTAGCCCACCCGCATTTCATTTCTAAAGTCACCAAGAGATGGTCTGACTGAATTGACACGTTAGTCGCTGTCCACACTATTGTAGATTCAGGACTCGCGCGTTTGTGTGGGCACTACCAGCAGTGTTTTGTCTGCTGATTAGGAAGGACTGATTATTTTGTCAGTGGCTTATGTGTAAGAGTTCATCATGCTTTCTAGCATGTGGTTGCTTTCTTGACATGGCATTGAACGTGCGACTTTTAGTAAAAATAAGCGCTATTACAATCTGACTCTCCGATACACAGTTGAAAGTTAATTGTTGCCGCGTCGAGATCACTAGTCGGACTAAGGCATGCTTGTCTATTTCTGACATCGCAAGTACTTTCAGAATAGTTCATTTCGGTGATGATTGATTCCTCCTGTAACTCAAGGGTCATAATAAGACCACGAACCCACTGGGTGGGAGCATAGTTCACTGAACAGTTTATGTAACGAATAGTGGAGCCAATACCCAGTCGCATTCCGACAACAGCCTCCACATATCCGCTCCCTGCATGCCGGTGGCAAACAATAATTCATTCCATGCCAATGTGCTAGGATAGTCGATATTGAGTGTGGAATGTGTTACGTTATGCGTTTCGAAAGGAATATTTTCGATAAGGAATTGGCATATTTGCCATACCTAATTCATCGCATTTGCATATCTTGTTAGGGAAATAGCGCCCTGCTGTCTATAGGCACTCAATAGCACTGAACTTTACTTAATTAAAAGGGCATTCTCTTCTATTATAGCACGGTAGCACGGTTCTATTTATAGCACGGTAAAAGTTATTCATTTTACAAACTAATCTAAGGAAAACGTAATTACACCAACACTTCAAAATATAACTGCCTACTTGTCTAAAAATATAACCCAAGACCATTACTACCAAAGGCCACACCACTGATGCTGTCCGGCTCCAACTCGTTCTCAAATAAAATCCCACGCTAGGCCGTTCGAATGTCACCCTCCGGTCACCGCCTCGTTTTTACCTCTGAGAAAGTGGTAAAAAGTATTATTTTCTCACCTCCCCAGCTCTTCAGCCTAACCCCTCTCCGTGTCCGTTCCTGGTAATTAATTTAGGGTTGGTTTATAGATAATAGAGACACGGAT